AGTTCCCTGCCCAGCCAAATGCTAAAAGCTCATTATCAGTAACTGCTGTGTGTTTTTTCTTTTTGCTCTTCAGAAGACAACCGTGAAGTTCTGGTTTGCCACAGGTGGAGCTGGGTTCTGTATCAGCCGAGGTCTTGCTCTGAAGATGAGTCCCTGGGCCAGGTAAGCATTGTTCCTAGCTGAGCTCCATCAGTACATGTTTGGCAGGTTTTAAAACACATTTTGGCTTGTCTCCTATGCTCTCTGCCACAGCCTGGGCAATTTCATTAGTACTGCAGAAAGAGTACGACTTCCTGACGACTGCACGATTGGCTACATCATCGAAGGGCTGCTGGAGGTAAAGCTGCTGCACAGCCCATTGTTCCATTCCCACCTGGAAAACCTGCAGAGGCTGCAAGGCGAGTCTGTGCTGCAGCAGGTAGGGCTATGCCTCATGGCCTGTTCTTATAGTTACACCTCAGTCTGATCAGAAAGAATACACTGTGTAGACTCAGCACCCTTCAGCAAAGAAGGATATCTGCAGACTCACTCAGAGCTGGGTCCTGTTCAGTTCCTTCATTTAGGTGAAAAGCACACTTTCACCCTAGGCACCTAGGTCATAGAGCTGTCCCCTCCTTTGGGGACAGATTCTGCTACATGAAGCCTTGGTAGGGTGTACCCCATCTCCTCCTAAACCCTGATTTTTTGCATGTAGCAGCAGCAGAAAGTGTAGAAGTTTACTAAGTAGTGTTCCTGGTTTTGCCTAACAAAGTTTCAGTCTTAATTCATGCTGTTCAGAAAGGCAGCTATATAAGTACTTGACATAATTAAATGTTTGAGCATTTTAAAGAACAATTTGTATGAATCTCAAGAAACTTAAAGTTGCTTCTGAAAAGCCAAGTTGCTTTTTAATTGCTGGGAAACATTTTACCTCCCTGTCAGCAGATGGAGCCACAAGGCCATCCAGCAGTGTTGCCTGCATCATACTGCTTGGCACCATAAGTAAACAGGAGTGTGGTTTTGCCCCTGCCTGCTGGGTGGTTATGTTTTTCTGGCAATTGTATTAGGCAGCAGAAATGTGTGCTTGGGGCCAAATTCCACCGTGATGTTTTCTCTCTTCATGTTAGTGAATTTGACTGTAACAACAGTCCAACAACTGACCATTGTTTCACTGGTCATCTTTGGTTCCATGAGACAGCTAACCCAAAACCCAGGAAATGTACAATTATAAAGAAAATGTAAGTCTTCTGGTACCTGATACCTGAAAAATTCTTAATGCAGTGCTTGTGTGGAGGAAGCTGGGTTTCCAAAGATCTAAATTTTGTTTCAGATTTGAAACATGACACTCCTTTCCATGATACTTAATATGCAAATATTTTTTTTCCCCTGTGCTAAAATATTGCTATTGCAGACTTCAGGCAATGTCTGGTAAGGGTGAACATGTTATTTAGTGAAGGTACAAATAGTAGCAGAATTAATATCCTTACAAAGCTTACAGTTGAAGCTCATCTTGTCCTTCAGGGCAGTGCAATTTTCAGACCTTTTGTGTATTCTCCCATGTTGCCCTTGGTGCCATTCAGTGCCAGCATTCCTTATATCAGAACTAATTGCTGTCCTCCAAATGTGATCCATGTTCAGATTAGACAGCATCTTTGGAGACTCTCTTGGTACCTCATTAATAAGCCTGCTATCTCCACTCTGGTTTTCTGCACTAGTGTTACAAGTTTTGAATATTGACTTGTTTTTACAGGTAACCCTGAGTTACGGTGACCCTGAGAACAAACACAATGTCGTGAGTGTGGGAGGAGTGTTTGGCCTTCAGCAAGATCCAACCCGGTTAGTGTCCACTTCCCAAACAAGATCTCCCTACCTTGTTCATGTTTGTCATCTGTGAGATGATCAGACCCACTAAGGGGGTTATTTTCTCATGTCAGCTCATTACTGTGCCAAAAACAGGTAGACCCACCCCTGCTCCATCAGACTGCTGCACATTCAATGCTAGTGTGTTCCATGTATGGAGAATTCCAATCTAATGCTGTCTTTTTTTTTTTTTTTTTTTTTAATACAGATTTAAATCTGTCCATTGTCTGCTTTATCCTGACACTATTTGGTGCCCTGCTAAGAAGATGTCATAATTCTTGATCAGCCACTGACACCCATGTCTTAGCTAGTTCGCGTAAGGCAGGAGTTGGGAGTTTTTTGGTGGTTTTATTCTTCTTCTGGGAGACAACCAGTGGTATCTACAAAGGAGGTAGACAGACTGTTTAGAAAAGCAATAAGGTGTGGTTTGTTCAGCTGCAGCCTGGGACATTCCAAGAAGAATCTTTGTTCTTTTGTCTAGGGGCTCTTTCATACGATGACCACAGTCCTGTGTGTATGAGTCACTTTATACTTTCATCTGATGTCATGTGAACCTGTGCTTGGGCACCATTGAGGCAAATGCAGTACTGAGAGTGAGTGTTTTTACTACCCTTAGGGGTTATTAGAAGCCACTGTATTGAAGCTGGAGTGCTAGAGCAGACTGTAGTCCCCATGGTGACAAGAGAGGGGAAGTTTTCACTCATCCTTCTTGGGAACAGAATTATTTAAGAGCTTCTGTGGCCTGACAGATTAAAATTGCAGCTGGCTAGAATACAGAAATCCTGGAATCACTAGGGTAAACAAGGCTGAAAGCCTTTGTCATGAGAAAACCCTGTGTGAGGGTAAGCTTACTCAAGACTAGATGAGTTGCTTACAAGGTACATTCTTCCCTGTCATCCATGTGTACCTCCTGTGGAGGTAATTGTCAGACCTGGCTCGCATGCCAACTGAATTGCAATGGTTGATGATTATGATCTATTCCCTTGATATTTGATACTGAAAAAATATTTGCCTGACAAGATGGTAATTGTTCCTCCCACTTGGCTGGTAGTTGGTCCCATGAGCTGGAGAAGCTTGTCCTGGCAAAACACACCCTGTTTCTGAAGCAGTGTGAGAGGGGAGAAATGCTAGATAGCTGCAATGCACCGAGGAGAGTTTTGATAGTATCATTTGAGGACCTTTTATTGTATGACCATGGTTACTCCAGCTTCTTCAGATAATCTTTAGATTACCATAAAGTCGAGATCAGTGTTTGTTTTTACTCAATATTTCAACAAGTAGTTCATGCAGTCACTAAAAGGAGATGGCACACTCACAAGCAGAAGTTCAGTGCTCCAGCAGTATCATCTGCTGCTGCTTTTTAAAGAAAGTAAACTTAGTTTTTAGAGTGGAAGGAATGGGGCTCCATATGTTTACTTTTTTGTTAGCCCAGACTTTGGCCATGTCCAAACCCTACCTGGCCTGAAGAATACCTCCAAAAATATGCCTTTGCAAAATCACTGTTTACTCTTATAAAAAAAAACTTGCTGGTTTAGCGCTAGAGTTTGAGGCCAAATTAAGGGAAGAATAATAGCATGCCATTGTATGATCTGGAGCTGTGATTATTGGCTTGGTTGTGGATCTAGCAGACGTTTCAGGTTTCTAAATGGCTGCACTCAGCTGTACTGTGGGGTTCACCTAGTTATTTAACTTCCTGGCAAAAGCCTGTAGTGTATTCAAGTATGCCACTTAGCACAGGGGTCAGCCTCCTCAAATATACCGTGTTCCCTGCATTTTAACCAACCTTTCAGTGTTTACCTCAGTACATTGTCCTCTTTGCATGATTTTAGGTAGTTCTACTGAGGAACAAACAAGCTGACTGCTACTTACTACACTCCTGCAGCTCATTCTTGTATTTTTCCTTTCTATCATGTGTACTAAGGTACACATGAGGTATGGAAATAAGAAAGCTGCAGGAAGCTGGATCAAAGCCCAGCTAGCACACTGGCTGCTCCACAATGGGCTGTCAGTGTTACAGGTGTGCCTGTCACAGAAAACAGAGGAGGATTTGTGGCATAGTAGGTTCTACCTCCTTATTAGATCTTCTGCTAACTAGAATTGAGGCATCCTGTGGTTTAATTATTTGTCATTAATAGTTCTGGAGATTCCTGGTATGCATATATTTTTTTAAAAATGCTTGTTAGGTTCTTGGTTTTAAAGTCCTGTAGCAAAAAACTGTGAAACTTCATGAGCTCTTGAGGTGATTTTTGTCTTCAAACACTGTTTCTGAACTCTTCTGTTGGAAATCTTCTTCCCCTTCCACTGGAAGCACCCTTTTGTAAGATGACAGAGACCAAGCAAGGACTGGGCAGTAATTGTCGCAAACTGCAGTTTAAAAAACCACAACACTTTATAGCAATGGCAGCAAAAGTAAATGGTAGAAGTTTCACACTGTGGTCACTGGTCACACTAGGTATGCCAAAGAGGCAAGTGCCCTCGAAGCTGGGAGGGTGTTTATGGAACTTAAAAAGGACCATGTTCTCCTGCAGGGCAACAGGAAACTGTTCAGTGTGTTCAGGCTTGTTCCAAGGTTTCTTGTGTCGAGAATACAGTAAGCTGTGTGGATCTATCAGGATGCAGCTTTTTTATCAAACTACTTTTTCACACATAAAGTGATTCTATAAAATAAATATTTAAATATGTCAAATGCTGTGTTTGTCATATTTCTTAACATGTGCTCTGTGTCAAAAATGGACCATAAACCTGCTAATCTAGAAAACTATGTCCTCCTGTCAGGCTCATGTGATGCCACGGGCCAAAAAGCAAGTAAGCACAATGACTGGGATGTGGAGAACAGGGATGGATGAGAAGAATCCTTGCAGCTGCTTCTTAACAGAGTACAATCAAAGAATTGAGATAATGAGGGTTTTAATTGTCATCTTCAGCAGCAACTTCGAGGGGGCAGATCTGGCAGGTCTTTTTCATCAGACACTAAAAAGCCTGTTTTCCTGTGCTCGCTGAAATGATACTTCAATCACGAGTGAGAGCCACGAAATTTCACGTCTGTCTGTCTTGCTGGATGAGCCTGGAGCCAGCTTGGTTTGCGCTCCCTCGGCGGAAGCGGGGAAGGATTTCCTTGCTCGCCCGGCCCGCGGGGCCGCCCCGCTCCCGGCCCCGCCCCGGCCACAGTCCAGCCGAGACATGGAGCCGCAGCTCAGCTTCGGCGGCCGGCGGGCGCTGGTGACTGGGGCCGGCAAAGGTGCCCGCGGGCGGGGGCCGGGCCGGGGGCCGCGCCGGGCCCAGTCTGACGCCGTGTCCCCGCAGGGATCGGCCGCGCCGTGGCCGTGGCGCTGGGCAGGGCCGGGGCCCGCGTGACCGCGCTGAGCCGAACGGCGGCGGACCTGGAGAGCCTCGCCCGAGAGGTACCGCACTCCTCCTCCCGCCCCCCTTCCCCGTGCCGGGCCCGGCTCCCCCGCGGCCCCCCAGCCCACCGCCGCCGCCCTCGCCGCAGTGTCCGGGCATCGAGACGCTGTGCGTGGACCTGGCGGACTGGGAGGCGGTGGAGGCGGCGGTGGGCGCGGCGGGGCCGTTCGAGCTGCTGGTTAACAACGCGGCCGTGGCCGAGCTGCAGCCGTTCCTGGAGGTGACGCGCTCGGCTCTGCAGCGGTGAGTGCCCGGCCCCGGGACCGCGGCTCCACCGGGAGCTCTGGGCCCGATGCCCACCGAAGTCTCACATAGCTGTGAACGTCAAAAACGGCGGCAGAGCTTTCCAGAAAAGGGTGTTACTAGAGGGGAAGCAGCTGAAAAGAAAGAAGTCAGCAGCTGGTGTACAGACACTGGACAGGCTGGCCTGCACACTTTTAGCAATGCCCAGTGTTTGTTAGTTGATTGTTACTGCGTATGTCCTTTTTCTTTACTGTCTTTTCATTCTTTACATCGTCATCTTTCACCCCTTACACAGCAAAAGGAAACAAAGCACTGGCTCCATTTCTAAGTAGCTAGAACCTGCAGTGTCACCTCCAGAGTGGCGGGGTGCACCTGTCATCCCCCTGGCATGGGAGGAGTGCCTTTGCTGTTCATCAAGCTCAGAGCTTCCAGTCTAGTTCCAGCTCAGTTAAAATAAAAGGCAGTTGTTGCTAAGACAATTCAGAAGTAGAGACAACAAAGCCAGGTAAGGAAGCAAAAAATGGTCATGGTGGGAAATTAAATTTGCTAACTACAATAACATGACTTCTTTATTCTCTGAAAAGGTCCATAGTTTTGTTGTGAGTACACTTTAGGATACAGGCTATCTTGACCACATCCTTCTGAGAAAATGGGTCATGCTGTGTTCCTGTGTTAAAAATGGTTGCTGAGACTCTATAATAAAGGTTGTGACTAGAACATCAAATGTATGGATTCTACTAAGATCATTCTGCAGAACTGGCAGGTGGAAGCCTGACAAAGGAAGCACAATGTGGCAAACAGAAGAAATGCTGCCTCTACCCACCTTACAGCAACTTTGCTTTGTAAACCTGTGTGAAGGGTTTGCTTGACCGAAGAGTTATCTGTCCTGGCTGAAGCCCAGGGCTCTGTTTAAACTTTGACAGGAATTCCATTACGCTGCAGAAGAGCAGAGTCCTGTGCAAAATGCACCTGATGCATGCATGCTCCTCCTCACACACTGACAAGCTTGCAGCCAGTGGATGGTTCCGGTTCATTGCAGAGATCCCACCTGACCATTCTGGCTCTCCTGACAACTTGGCATTTCTGTCCATGCCCTAGAGTATCACCGGTGTTTCAGCACTTGTCCTCTGCTGCTTCTAGCTCCCTGGGCTGAGCTACAATCGCTCTTTAACTTAAATTTGATTTATTTGTAGGTCTCTTGATGTGAATTTTGGGGCCGTGCTTCATGTTTCCCAGGTGAGGAAGAACTGTCACTGCAGCTGCCTCCATGAATAGCAGTGACTAAATTGTTGTACATAGCAGGGGTATCTGTCCATTGTGGGGGCTGAAAGGACTGCAGTCCAAAGTCAATCTGACAAACTACATGTACAGTCCCTTCACACTCTTGCTTTGACTCTCTTGTAAGCAGGAGGCACTGAGGACTTGGTTCCTCCAGATGTTTTTGTTCTTTGGTCTACCATAATAGCCCAGCAAGATTCCCATAGAGTGAAATAATGATTTCTCTTGTTAGGATTCTGGCATTCCTTTTTATTTTTCTCTCCTTCCCCTCCCAGATAGTTGCTCGGCAGATGATTGCACAGGGGCTGCCAGGGGCTATTGTGAATGTCTCCAGCCAGGCATCGAAGCGTGCGCTGAGGGATCATGCTGTTTATTGTAAGTGTGTGCAGCTTCGACCAGCTGGAGACCCATAGTCACCAAGCTGCCAGTTTTGGGCACCAAAATACCCGTGTGTTCCATAGCACCTCCAGAGCAGGTGCTGTGCAGTTAAATATCTCCTCTTCTTCCTCTTCTCTTAAAGGTTCCACAAAAAGTGCTCTGGATATGCTGAGCAAAGTAATGGCAATGGAACTGGGACCCCACAAGGTAGGAGTCTGAGAGAGAAAAGTGTGAAAGCTGAACCTGAGCACAACCACAGCAGTTGGATTAGATTGTTTGTTGCTCCTGGTCCCAGATTAGGGTGAACACTGTGAACCCCACCGTTGTTATGACTGACATGGGGAGAATTAACTGGAGTGACCCTCAGAAATCTGCTGCCATGATTAATCGGATTCCCCTGGGAAAGTTTGCAGGTCAGTGATGTACGTCTGTCCCCAGGCTGTGCTCATGTGTTCTCCAAGCCTGCCTTCTCACTGATATCACAGCCAGAAGTTGCTGATTTTTTGGCAAAGTGACAGCTCTGCTGAATGCCTTTTGGCTGAATTCCTGCAGTGTTTGATCAGGACAGGGTGAGAATCAACCCCTCCTCTTGCTTTTTCTACAGCCTCCTCATCTTGGGACAAGTGAAATGAACTTACTCTATTGTTCATAAACCTGACAGGGTGTTTGCTGTGACCTAAGCACCCTTTGATCACAAGGACACTTTGATGTCCAGCTCTCAGCCACACTGTCCCAGACACTTCATCAAGCACAGTTTGAAGGCAGAAACACTTTCCAGGTCTAATTACCTGCAGAGGTCAAAGGCAGACCTTTTTAAGTGCTTGTTTTTCTGGTACACTTTGAGGTGGGCATCAGATGTTCTCTGTGTTTGATTGCAGAGGTGGATGATGTGGTGAACAGCATTCTCTTCCTGCTGAGTGACAAGAGTGCTATGACAACTGGCAGCTCACTGATGATTGATGGGGGCTTTCTTGTCTCCTAAGATGACACCTGAATTTCACACCTGGCCTCAATTTTCATATGAATACTGCCTAGATGTAAACTGGATAGAAAACAATGACTCACTTCTTGCTGAAAGGGCAGCAGGGCTGAAGACTGTATTAGAAGTGAGGCAGAAAATCAGCTTTGCAAGGCTGCTATATAATAAAGCTCACATACACCTTCATGGAGAATGTTTATTGCACCAAATAAGGTTTTATCTTGTCACTCTACATGATGATTAGAAATTGGACCTCTCTTCCAACCCTGTTCCCCCCCCACAACCCTTCAGAAGCTCTCCCTGTTCCAACCAAATCCACAGAGTCTGTCTGCATTTTCAGTGGGAAGGGAAAGAAGTTAGCAGACTCCTCATTGCTTCCTTTGTTGTCTTTAGTAGAAAAAAAAAAAAAAATAGAGGCAACAATCCCAGCCCTGCTCTGCAGAGACTGGATCTTGGGGGGAAGCCCTGCTAAAGACTAATGGGGGGGAGCAGCACCATGCTGTCCTAGGGTGTGCACACACAAAAAGGCAAATGCATTGATTGCACAGAGCTGTTTCACTCACAGAGTTTGGCTAGTACCCAATAAAGCACCTAATGATTCGTTTTTCAGCTTCTCATTTACTTTGACCCCTTCCAGGGCTGGTTATGATTTCTTTTAACAGTCTCAGGAACATTCTGCTAGAGCACCAGTTTGTTAACTGTTAGCCACAGCAGGCTGGGCAAGGAGACCCCACCATCCTTCCCAGCTCTTCTTGTCTTTCAGCACCATTGAAATCAGCTCCCTCCCCACTCCCACCAGGATGTTAACCACCTGTTTCACCTGCAGGTTGAAACAGGTGTTTCCGGAACAGGATGGATGTCTCAGCCCTTTCCACTTGGAGTTCAGGAGAGCCAAAACAGCTTGTTGCCTGAAGGAGCTACCTTGCCTTCCCCGCTGTACCTCCCCTGGGGGCTGTATAGTCCCCAGCTGGTCTCCTGTCCCCACTGCCCCTTCACATCAACACTGACGTTAAATCAAAGAGACATTTAAAAAACACTGACTTCGTACATGATGAAGGGCCCTACACATCCCAGCCCCCTTCAGAAACACCCAGCTTAATATGCAATCTGTCAGAGGATGACAGCATGCTGAGCCAACACCAAGGCCACAGCCCTCAAAACATGGTACACTTTTTGCCAGGCTTCTTCACAGGCGGTGGGCAGAGCACAGCCCGGATGGCTTCATCAAACACCGTCTTCAAGCCCCGCTGTGTCAGCGCAGAGCATTCGAGGTACTTTACTGACCCTGGGGAAAGAGAGCTGCAGCTCAGCCACTCCAATTCTCCCACCATGCACTTGCTCACCCACTCACAAAGCTCAGTGCCACTGGCATCTGCCTGCTCATGAGACTCACCGATCTCCCGAGCCATGGCCAAGCCCTGGGGATAGGTGATGGGGGCCAGTTTCTTATCACGTAACCGTTCAATGGTGTCCTTATCATCCCTCAAGTCCAGCTTGGTGCCCACCAGGATAATAGGTGTATTTGGGCAATGGTGTCGGACCTCAGGGTACCACTGAAACAGAGAGGCATGATAAGAAAAGTAGTTACGTGAGTGGCCACAACCATAAGGAAGCATTTCTACTATTGGGAATGAAGAGTTTCACTACTGACATGGTGGCAACACCTGAACAGGATATTGCTGCCTACAGTTCTAACATGCTCTGCAAAAAGAGACTGGTGTAGAGGTAATAATGAAGGCACCAAGACACAGAATCCTGACAGACACTGCCAGCCAACTCTGTGCACAGCGCTTTCCTTAACTGCACATTAGCTTCTAAGACATCCCTTATCTTAAAACACAGATTCAGAAAGGCAATAACTTAGCCAAAGAAGTCATTAATAAAAAGGCCCCACTTAAAACCTGCAGACTATGATTTTGCCTCATCAAAACATTACTGCTTGAAGTTTTGGGCTTGTAGGTGTGGTGCTGGGTGGGGCAGGTAGTGTCACTGGTTCTTCCCTTCTACCGTTTCACCCAGGGGGAGAATACTTTACCTTAGCTCGGACATTCTCAAAGGAGGCTGGACTCACAAGGGAGAAGCAGATCAAGAAAACATCCTGTGCAGAAACAAGAAGGTCAGCTGTTCAGAAAGAAACAGCTAGAGTGAAGGGAGGCTGCAGAGGGAGCCTGAGAAAGGACAACCTCCTCCCACAAGCAAGGGCTGCTGTGGCCTTAAGAAATTCTTCCCCATTAAGGGTGTTAAACTAATTCAGAGAAGGAATGGACCATGAGTGTATGATTACATCTTCTTTCACAATGCTGGGCTCTGCATGTTAAGAGCCTGAGGCCTCAAACATCTTAACAGCACTAAGGGCTTCACCAGCAGTACAGCTGCTTAGGAACTGCTATACCCAGGAACACTCCTAGGGCAGCCCAACGGGGATCTGTCCTGCTGAGAGAGAATGGGAATATGGAACTGGCCACGCTGCACAGCAGCCCTACAGCATTCCTTTTACTTGAGTCTCCCTGGGGCACCCATAACTCTTCAAAGACCATTACAAAGAAGAGAATAGAACAGGACAATGTCTTAGGAGAAAATCAGCTGTGATACTTCTTAAACAACCAGAATTATGGGTGTAGCTGCAGGAGCTCAGACTTTCCTCAAAGGAAAGAAGCATGCCTGTCCTTGGGAGCCTCTCTGTCTCTGAGAGGGAGCAGTCACCAGTCAGTCCAAGCCCAGCACTCACCGTCTGTGGATAGGAAAGAGGCCGCAGTCGGTCATAGTCTTCTTGCCCTGCTGTGTCCCAGAGGCCCAGATTCACTGGCTTTCCATCTACCATCACATTGGCAGAATAATTATCAAACCTGCCAATGAGGAGTCCCCATCAGTGACAATTTTGTGGTGACCTTCGCATCTTTATAAGGAATTCAAAGGGGCAGTGAAAGAAGAAAGGACACTGCAGCAAAGTTCCAGGGGGGACAATCTGCCTTCCTCACACACACAGCCACAGCATCATCCTTACCTGTCAAGTTCACAGTCTGATTTGCAACAGCCACCTCCTCACATACAAGCCAAACTTTTACACACACAAGCATACAGATCAAAAAGCAACTGAAGCCCAAGGCCATTACTTACACGGTGGGAATGTATTCTCCAGGAAAGGCATTTGTGGTGTAACTGATCAGCAAGCAGGTCTTCCCAACAGCTCTGCAGAGGGTAAGAGTGACAAGCATAAAGAAGGGTACAGCATGGAGCACTAAGGCAGTAAAACTCACCCTTCCCCCACCGAAAACACACGGCTAGGTAAAAAGCTACCATGGGAGAAAACAAACCTGTTGCAGGCTGGAATTCCCTAGTTGTCACAGACATGGCCTGAACTCAAAAGGTGCACCTTGCCTGAGCACTTCCTAACCCTGCTCTCTGCCACTCTTTTTCCCTACCCATTCAGCCCTCAGCAAGACATCAGTCAAAATACAGTTGTTTCATGAACCAAGACAGGGAATAAATTTGGGTTGTGTGCTGGGCTCAACAGATGCGTAGTAATTTAGCAAAATGGATAAACAGTGAGGTTAAAAAGCATGCAACAATGCAGAACTCTGCAAGCTCCTCAGATACAGGAATTCAGTATCAATAAACACAAAGGAGAAAAAGTAAGTATCCATAAACAAAAATGGACTTTAAAATTGACTGCTGTCAGTTTGCAAAAGATTAGTGAAGAAGGATAAAAATACCAGCTCAGGGCTTTGCTGAAGGCTGGTGGGATTGGTGAGCCCAGCAGTGGCAGCTGGCAAGTGCCAGGACAGCAATGGAGTGAGCACAGGGACTTTACCCAGCCCTGCAGATTTCCTGAGAGCTTCACTGTAAGAACAGAGGAGTACCAGCAGTGTGAGCACCCTCTTTATCATGGAGAAAGCTGTGAACTGCAGACAGCTCTCCAGAAAAAGACTGTGAGTGCCAGTGCCAGGGCAAGCTGGCTTTGAGGTGCCTGGGTGAAGCTGAATAGCTAGCAGAAATGGGTACCCCCCACCCAATTCTGCAGCCAGACTGATGTAAGAGAGGATGACAGAAGAGAGGAAGAGAGCTGACAGTCCCCTGCACACACCAGGATGACAGAAAGCACAGCGAGAACGAACCACTATTACAACTCTTCCTTTGGATTAGGTCCCCTCGGTCTGAGAAGAGAGAAGTTTTGTCATGAACCACTACGCTGACTGGTCCAACTTTCCTCCTGAAGTGTGACTTCTCTTTCCCACCAAACAGGGACACTTGTAATTCACAAAAACCTGTGTATCTAAGTGGTTTTTTCAGTCTGCACTGTTGATTTAGTCTTAAGACAAAACACACAACAGCTGAACTCCATTTCCAACATCCTGAGCTCCCAGTCACTCCTCTCCCCTCTGCAATAAAGCTGTGCTTTCCCCATCTCCCTTCTTTAGCCCTCACAGGCTGGAACCTGGAAGGCCTCATCACAAATGTGCATTTGAGGGGGTGGCATGCACGAGAAAGGGGAAGTCTAGTCCCTGCCTAAGACCAGTTCACATTTGGGTCTGAGTACCTCAGCTCTGTTCTCGCTGAGGTGATCAGAAAAGTAAACTGGAATTGTGAGGAAAAATATGCAGGATGAGCTAGGAAAGTTACAAAGCAGCATAAATCTAGTGCGTGCCTGCATCTTGCGGGCAGATGTGTCCCCAAAAAAAGGCATTTAGGAAGAGCCTTAAGAAAAAAGCAAAAAGGGTGACAAGGAGCACATGGTGAAATCAGAAGGAGCAACGCATTTCACCTCGGAACAATCAACCATAGGACATACGAGACGTGCGAACATCAAGATTTTCGGGAGGACTCTGTCAGGAACCAAGCAGGTACAATGAAAAATAGCAAAGTACCGGCACCTAAATGAAACAACGAGGCACACATAAAACCGAGGAGAAGCCTGTGTTTGCTACCCAGGCAGCACCCAAGTTCATGAACTATGAAGGGAGCAGGGCAGGGCTGGGGGCCGCGGCCAGGCCCCGGTCCCCCGCCGGGACCGCACGGCGACTCTGCCCGCCGGCCCCGCTCCCGCCGCCCCGGCCCGGCCCCACCCGAGCCAGGCCCCGGTCGGTCCAGGCCGGACCGAGCCTCGCCGCCCGGCGCGGGGCCTCCCGCCGGCGGAGCAGCTCTCCGGGACGCAGCCCCGGGCCAGCCCTCCCTCCTTCCCCCGGCGCCGCCGGGCCCGTTCGGTGCGGGGCTGCGGGGCCGGGGCGCGGCCCCTCCCGCACTCACCCGTCGCCCACCACCACACACTTGATCGCCTGCATCTGCCCGCGATGGCGGCGCCGCGACTGCGCCGCAGTGACCGCCCGCGGGGTGGGGCGGGGCCGCGCCGAGCGGAGCGGAGCGGAGCCGGGCGGAACCGAACCGGGCCGAGCCGCGCCGCGCCGAGCACCGTCCCGCCGGCTCCGCCCCCGCCGCTCGCCCGGGCCGGACGCGGCCCCGCCGCGGGCTCGGAGGAGCGGCGGCCCCGCCCCACGGCAGAAGCGGCGGGCGCTGCTAGGGGCCGGTTACCGCTCGGGGGCACACCGGCTCAAGGATAGTGCTCTAAAACCTGGCTGCGTTGCAGCTGCATAGTTCACCGTCATCTGCCCAGAGCTGCTGAGGAACAAAGATGGAGCGGGAAAAATCCCTCGGGAAGATGGCTTTTGGCTTCCCGCACCTCCCTTGCCAGGAAAACAGGGGCCCACAGCAGTGGCCCTGTCTGCAAACAACAGGCCTGGCTATTCCCTTAACCTGCGGCTCTGTAGTGCTGCCCAGCAGCCACAAACTGAGGGGCTATTGCCACAGGTTCTCTCCATTATGACCAGGGAACAGCTTCCCAGCCTCTTTGCTTTTATCTTAGTCCAGAACCAAAACCATCCCCATCTCATCCACCTGTAGCAGCCTTTTAGATGCAGGACAGGCTGACGGGGTCTTCAGGAGAGTAACACAGCAGAAGGACCCACCCTCCACATCAGTCAAACACCCAGTTTGCCACGGTCCAGTGCTAATGGCAAAATGCAAAAGTACTTTATTAAGCAGAGCAAAACCAAGTATAAAAAATGAACACAAAGCAACCAGTCCCCACAGAAACTTTCATTTTCCAGGTGTCTCTTAAAATATGTACTCTAAGACATGTTCCCACCCCAGACTCACAGGAAGAACTCCCTCAAGGCTCAATACTGCTGGCCTGACAACAGCTTCTGCTGTCTCCAGTTCAGGCTCTAGTAATCCTTCCCTTTCTCCAGGTCATGCGCTGTCAGGAGAGGAACCACCTTCTCCCCTTTGTGCTCTGAGAAACAACTCCCCAGTGTCACAGCAGAAGCTGTGAGAGAATCACTCCTCTCCAGGTTAAGGCCACAGCACTCAGTTCTAGGAGCCTGAGAAGCCAGGAGAACAGCTCTGCCATTTGCCATAGTGAAACTAAATCCTGTAGCAATACTTGCCACAACATCTTCAGGTAAGGGCTGCAGAAGTAGAACCACTGCCCAAGCCCAGCAGTCCCACAAGGGCACGGACAGCACTGCACTGAAGCCCCTCGGTGCAGCAGTTTCTGTCTATGCCAAATGTGTTTCTACGGCACACCAATACAGCCAGAGCCACAGAGGGAGGGTAAACAAGCCAGAGAGGGCCCCGTCAGACTCTGCTCCTGTCTGTAAACACTGGGTGAGAAAGCACAAGTGGGTAATACCTGGTGTTTCCAGCAGTTTCAGGATCCCATTGGCAAGGCAAATTGCTCCAGCCCACAGGGAACTGTAAACACTCCTGTCGCTTTTTCTCAAAATTCTCTGTGAACAGCCTTGGCACCCAAACAAATGCTGCAGCAGGACCTAGCCAGGGAACATACAAACCCGCCGGTAACCCCCTGTACTAACAGGCTGTGGCACAGCAGGGGAGGGGGCTCGACATCATGGACTCACACCCATGGGCCTGGACGGTCGTTTCCTCCTCTCCTCTGTGTTGTCAGGAGGAAGATTTCTGAACATCAAGAGCATTTGTCTATTTGTGAGCCTTTGTGTCACCCCACTCTGATAAAACTGTCCATTTAGAAAGGAGTTGTACCTGAGCTCACCCTTTCCCTGACAGCAGGAAGCCACACTCTCACTTCCTAGAACTTCCCAAGGGAGATCCCTGCACATATGCCATGATGGCATTCTGCAAGAAACTGGCTCGCTGGGCCTCCTCTTCCCTCATCCTGGAGATCTCAGCCTCCTTCATTCTCAGCTTCTCCAGCAGCAGAGAGATCTCACCCTCCTTGTCCAGCAGTGCTTCACGGTGATTACTGGATAGGGCTGTGAAAAAGCAGCATTAGTAAAGAAAATCAAGGTATCCCTGGAATAAACAGGAGCAGGCCAAAGGCAATGGAAGTGCTACAGTCAGCAAGCACACAAGAGGAGCTGCATGAGCTAACATGAGAGGTTTTGCACAGAGAGCAGGCACACTTCACTGTGCAGGAAATCCAAATTTTGCCTGCTATGCAGCTTTGGGTGGTTATCTGAGCCTTGGTCTCTACAAAACGAGGACAGGAATCCCTGTAAATACACAGGATGGAGAGTACAATTCACAGGTGTACTCTCAGACAGCACTTGCTGTCACTACCTGTGAGCACAGCTCATTCCAGGCCCAGTGCAGGTTAACTCAGAGATACCATGCGAGAAGCATGAAAGGATCCATCACCTTTCAGCTGTCTTTCCAGAGCTGCAATCTTCTCTCTCAGCCCATCCTGGGCTGTGCGTTCAGCGTCCAGGTGCCCAATCTGCTCCTGCAATTCCACTTTCAGCTTATTTACCTCTGTCACTTTCTCCTCTTCCTTCCTGTCCAGGTCCTGACACACAAAGACAAATCCATGAACAACCAAACAACTTCAGCAACTTGTTCTGGCCCTGTGGTGACTATCTCTACTCCAGTCCAAACTACCTGCTGAAGTTCATTCAGCCTCCTCCTGAGTCCATCAGCACACAGGCTCAACTGTTTGGCTTTGGCCTGGGCCTCAGCAACCATTTCCTTTTGCTTAAGGCAGCAGTTCTGAGCTTCATCCCTTGACTCAGTCATCAGCCGCAGCTTCTCTTCTAGGTGTTCCAGCCGTTGCTGCTGTAAGACACGAAGGAAAATTAAATTAAACACTCCCACTTCATTCCTGTGAAGAGATTCTCCCCTCTGTTCCTAACACAGTGAACCCTTTATTGAGTCAACTGGAACTGACAAGCACAGGACACAGTCCTGCTCCTTGCACTCAGAAGTAACTCCAAGCTGCTTCCTCTTGCCAGGGAGGGCACGGACAGACCAAAACACTCAGCTGAGAAACACAGACAGGTCCTTGGCAGATCACCAATGCCAGTGTTTACAGCCAGTGCTCCACCTTCACTTCCTCCATCCTCAAATGGCTCTGCAGCACCACTGCAAGCAACTAAGCAACTGCTGGATCCCACGAGTCAGATTTCTATGTCTGTAACTCAATGAAGCATTTTCTTTTGTGATGCTACAAATAAGTAAATATTCTAATAGTTTTTTGTGTATTTTCCTCATCCCTTGCTCTGTTTCACAGGATATTAACTTCATTGCCATTTTCACAGAGTTCAATACTACAATGACTTTATTTATCTAGCAGCAGTAGCCACCTGAAGAAATTTCTCAGTGTTCAGAGAAACAGGAGCACCCCATGAAAGCTGTCATTAAAAAGAAGGATCAACACCTGGCCGTTGGCTTCAGATGCTGGCAACTTAAATAAAATCTGCCATGACAATATCGACATCAGTTCTGTTATTACTGAAGACAGTTCAAATTAGACTTTTCAGGGCTCCTTCCTCAGCAATCACACCACTTGTGGGTCAGTGAAATCCAGAGAGGAGTGAGTTAGCAGCTCCCCAAGACCAACACATAGACTGGGTAGCCAAAGCACTTCCTTCCCACAGAGACAGGCCCACAGACAGGTCCTTACCTCCTCCAGGCGTGCCTGACTCCTGACTTTCACTAACTCCTCCTCTGCCCGGCCTCGCTCAGCCAGTGCAGCTGCTTTGACTTGGCTCAGCTCCTGCCACAGAAACATGGAAAATCATTCCAGACAGAGAAGCTGCATTGCTGCCACACTGACCAGAAAACAAGAGCAGTGTCCAGTCACAGGCTAGAAAATGACACAGCTCTCCTTCTCACTCAGGGGCAGCAGAAGCAAAGATGACAAACCTTTCCTCAGTTCAAGACTGCTATCTAAGTTCAGTGTGAATTTCAGTTATATGAGGGCAAGTATTGGTTAAACCTTTCCAAAACAAGGGATTAGGAAAGAGCACCGCTGGATGTAGCTGGGGAAATAGATATGGATAAACATGCTACACTACTTGTGACAACATGAGAATCCTGTAAAGTCAAGTCTTAGTAAGATTCTAGCCATGTTCAATGGAATCCTTATTTTTGTCCAATCTGAATTTACAAGTTTCTTCTTGGAACCTTCTTCCTTAGTCCAAAGCAGTAAAAATAATTTTAGCTGGTATACTGGTGTTTTCTGTTCCCCCTTACAGCACATAACAATCTTCACAAAGGTCTGCAGTCAGAGACTCCACAAAGCTTTCCTGGCAGCCTTCTCTGTGCACTGCTATATGAGTGCTCAAACGTGCCTAGAGCACTTCTCACCTCATCCAGAGATATCCTAATGGCCTCCAGCCTCTGGATCCTGTCGTGCATGGAGCGCTCACTGGCCTCCATCTGCTGTGCCATTCGATCCACCTGCAGAGCAGAGCAAGTGACAGAAACCCATCCCATCTGCAGGCAAAGCAAGCAGCAGGACTACTCATCATGATAGTGGAGCATCCTCTCTCTGAGCCATCTACCAGCAAAGTAAAATTCTTACCTCCCACAGAACTCCACTAGCAAAGAGTAGTACAGATGGAATTTGCCCTCTAGAAACTAAGAATTTTTAGACAGAGATCCCTCCCGGGCCACAAGGAGGGAGTCCAAGCTGTCATTGTCAAGTGATACAAAACACAACACACTCATTTTCTAGCTGTAATGTTGGTAACATCTTCCCAGTCTGTGACTTTTCTTAAAAGATTTCAATATCTTCAGAGAAATCTATTAGTATAATTTTATTTTGGAGAGATTTCAAACCTCAGTAACACTGCAAAGAGAATTGGTTGTAGTCTGTTGGCCTGTCCACACTCAGACACAAGCCCCTTTGAAACATAACAGAGAAGGAACTAGCATGCTGAGCCCTGTTAAAGGGCTGCTTGTGTATAAGCAATTAAAACATTAAAATGTATTTATTTCAGAAGCAGGAAAATATTCCTTATTTGTAATTACCTCTGTGCACAGACCAACACGAAGGGCAGCATCCCAGCCTCTTTTGTGCATCACATACCACTCTGGCCCATATTCTTGAAAGCTAGAAGATCTTACTGGTAGAAAGTCTTGTGATCTCTTCAGTCAGGCTTTGCTTGAAGAATTATTATTCTTCAAGCCCATTATTCCCAGAATAAATCCAAGCCCACTAGCTTTTAAACTTTTTTAAGAGTGCATTACAGCAAACAATGACCTCCCCTGGTGATACATGTCCGGACCAAAGAAAGACTAACCAGGATGCTGCAGAAACCCCATCCTTACCTCTTTTACCCGAAGGGATTCCATGTCTTCAAGGCTTTGTTTACATCTTCTTTTCTCCATTTCCAGACGTTCTGCAGATTAAAAGCAGGCATATCACAACTCTGGCATTCCTGCCACACACTGTACTCATACTTTTTCATACTCTGCCAACCCTTTCTCCTCGGCTGCCTGTGCAGAACAATGATCCCAACAATGATCCCAACTGCAGGTGTCCACAAGCCGTTCCTACTCCTCCACTCACCCTCAGCCTCCACAGCCCGCAGCTTCAGCTCTGCTGTTGTGTTGGTCAAGTCTTGTTTCACCAGGAACAGCTGATCCTGCTGAACTTTGCACTTCCTCTCCAACTCATCCACCTACATAAGGAAATTGCCACCACAAAGGTTTTTCTTTTCCTATTAGCACAAAAAGTTGGCTGTACAGGACAATGAAGAGACACTCGACCAAGGATCAGAATAGAGACCATATCTATGGAGCAGATGTTATAGATGTTCAAGTGCCACTTCTCAGACTTGGACTTGGTTTCCTACCTGATTTCTCAGCAGCAGATTTTTCTCCCTGGCAGCAGACAAGTCATGCAAAAGCCTGCCTTCCCGATCAGCACCTTCCTGCAAATAGAACCAAAATTAAAAACTGTACTCCCCCTATCTCTTGCACTACCAACCTGTGCCAACCAACATCACACCCAGCTAAATCCAACCTACACCATAAACACCAGGGCTCCTCTTCATACCTGGCAACTATCTATCTAATTGACACAAGAATTTCTGTCATGGTGGGTTTAGCTAAGCACTAGTGGTAAAAATCATGTTTGCCTATTGCATCTAGCATCCCCAAATCTACACAAACCAGTTATAACCTATAGCCCTGCTCTCAAACATAACTAGAACTTAGCCAGTTCACCTGCTTTTGTTGCTGGAGCTCCCTGAGGTGGCACTCAGCCACGGAGTTTTGTTCCTGTTTCATGGCATTCAGCAGCTCTCCCAGCGTGTGCACCTTCTGCTCAGACAGAGCCAGGGCAGCTTCAGTCATCTGCAGCCTATAAAGAAAAGCACTTTATGGAGTCTTTTCCAAGGCAGACACTGCAGCAAGCTCTCTATGCCCCCTGGTACAAGGTGCTAATGTCCATCTCGCAGTAGGTGAAATCAGGCTATGTAAATGAAGCATTTTTTGCTTCTGGGAAAAGAACACCACTGACCTCTGTACACAGCAGCACTGCAGTGACCTGGGACTTCTCAGGGCCCAGTGTTCTGGTGCCCATTGCATTTGCCCTGCACTGTCTTCCATGAGCCAATTTCCCTGCCCAGACCCCTGCAGGATTTGCCTGCTCCCACAGAACAAAGCTGGATATTTTATATCACTGCAAAGTTGTTTACGATTAGAGACAGGATTTTAAACATGAGTAGCAGAAGCAATTTTCTTGTTCTGTCCAAGAGGGACATGTCCACATCACTGCATGGCATAAAACACTGCCTTTACCTGGCAGAACTAAACTAGGCAGGCTCAGCAGTGTTTGAAGTGAAACCACAGCCATGTGCATGTGGCTCTGTGTGATCTAACACTTCTTTTGAGCACCTCTTCCCCAATGTTCCCAAGCCAGGTTCCTTCATACCTGTAATGGTTCCCAGAGAACACTGTCAGCTGCTGGGGGAAGCAGGCAGAGATTCCTGCCAGGCTGTAAACCATGCAAGGAACATGTCCCCATCCCATCTGCACAATCCCTTTTTCTTTCTTCCCACCTTCTGTAATTCACTTGTTCTTACACCAATGCACTGTAATTTTACTTAAAAGCAGGCTAAGTATCTAGTGTGGCAAACTCAAAGGCTTGATCTGACTGTAATTTCTGGATATTACTGCAGAACTAACCAAAATAGTAATCCAGCTACCCTACAAGATTATCCCCCTTCTTAGAAGCTCTGCTCAGCACTGCTCATACAGCACAAACAGTGGGAAGACAAAGGTTTTCCTCCTCCATACTTGGTTTTCAGTGAATTCATAATGGAGTACTGCTCATCCAATGCTTCCTGCAGCTGGCTGACTCGTACTGCAGACATTCTGCATTTGAGAGGAAAAAAAAAGGAAGAAAAGAAAAAAAGGTGGGTAATTTCTGCCAGGAAATGGAGAGTGCTCAATTCTGCCATCAAAAAGCAGAAAACATTTAGAATCTAACTCACTTCTCACTCCTGGCTCTTTCTTCTTTCTGCTTGTCTACAGTATCCACAAAATCCATGAACTGTGACCAAGACAAAATTCAGTAAGAAAATTAACTTCATCAGCTACAAACCTTTAAATTTCTCATCTTTCTCTTCCCAGCAACAGCTGAAGACATGTCAAGCCACTCTACTGGAAGCAAACTGGAAGTCTGATTGGTTTATTAGCACATTTGAATAAGGTCATCACCTAAAGGGACTCTGCATCCTGAGGTGTCAGATGGAAAAACAGATCTCTAGGTTTACACCACTTGGAAAATATCAAACCAATTGCAGAAGAAGAAATGAAAGCACAAATAACTAAAACTCCTCCAGAACCCAGAGTGAATATGTTCAGCAGGGATGTGTCCATACTCATACTGTCACTTGAATAAACCAGCTCAGAGGATGGACTCAATGAACTCAATCATGCTGTGTGCCTGCCCATAGAAATGCACGTGCAACTTCAGGTGCACAATAATACTGTCACTGTGTGCTCCGTGGGGACCTCAAGGAAAAGCAAAGGATTCCAGTTACCCCATTTGAACTGCCAACATCTGCTGACCTGCTTGTTCTTCTCATCCTTCAGACTCAAAACCTCCTTGCTGAGGATGCTCACTTGGTTCTGGGCCTCACTCAGGATAGCCTCACGGTCTTGGTTGTGATCCAAGGCGTGTTCTGATACAGAGAGAGCAGGAGAACACGCTCAAGTTTCTAAAGCAACAGAATAGCAAGCACTGCTGGAAGAGCAGCACTCAGGATGACCATTGAGCATCAGAAGCACCAGGACAGTTGCCCCCTCTCAGTCTGGCCCATGTAGAGAGAGTCCCACCTTACATCACCAGGTGAGATGGGATCAAAGAGAGCAGTGTGTGTGGGGTAATCAACACCCCAGCCTCAGGAAAGCTGTTAACTCTGCTGTGGGCAGGACAATGACACAGGATGTGCTGTGTAAGCCACATCAAAACTTGGCTCATCAGAGGCAAACTATGAGCAAAAGTCTCAGGTTCTCCCACATTCACACGGCACATCAATCTCTAATAACTCAATCCAAATTTTTTTTTTTCTTTTGCTGGTGAAAGTGACACTTCCAACTTGATTAGCCCTCACTAAAGGACAAGAGGGAGTGACATAGGGCACTGTGGAAATGCTATTGAGAAAGGGAGGGAAAGAGGGTTAGCTCTCTTCTGGAGCAGCAAGTGCCCTATATCCCCCACGTGCTGGACTGGGAAAGGAGTCAAGTGATCCATCACTGTACACACATCACACTTACCCACAGCTTTCAGGATGTCACCAGGAACATTGTTCCCTGCCAGCTCCAGCCTCTTCAGGGTCCTGTTGCTATGCAAGCAGTTCAGCAAGGCTCGGCCACCCAGAAGCCCAATGTTATTCCATCGCAAATCTACACAGAAAGCAAACTTTCACCATGGCAGTCACATTTCTGCTGAGATCCCAGATGGTCCTAGCACACACACAGGAGAATACTGTGGCCCCTTTCAAGATGAATGAGAGGGAGAGAAAGTGACAAAGCAGGAAAGGCAAAGATAAATCTTTAGTAAACTGCAGGAAGCCATGACAGTTAAAAGTCTGCATCTCACATTTGGCTCTCACGAGCCTTCCTTCCACAGACAGAATCTGTGGACAAGAAAGAATCAGTGACAAAAAGCCACATTCTCCTGAAATTCCAGCAAAATTCCATATAAGGACAAAGCCAGTGTGAATGAAGTATCAAGACTCTGTCATGAGGCATGCCACAAATAGGAATGAAAACACTTCTTCCTCCACTAAAGACTGTTCTGCCCCAAGTACAAGTTTTTCATCTGTAGGTTTGGTTCTAGAGATTCCAGTTTCAGTTTCCACTCTCCAGAGGCCATGGGGCTGTAACCACTCCCTGCACAAAGCCAGCACAGCACTCTAGACTGACAGGAATTGGGAATGACACCGACCAGCTAGAAGAAATTGAGGTAAGAAACCCGAAGATGCAGGTGTGTTTGCATGCATATATGTATACAGGGGCAAAGAACTCTTACCCAGCTCCTGAAGGCTGGTGTTTTGTGTCAGTGCCATGGCCAGCTCTCCAGCCCCTTGATGGTTAATCTGGTTATTGCGCAGATCCAGACGCTGAAGAAAGTTGTTTGCTCTCAGCCCTTGGCAGAAAAAGGAGAAGCCCTCCTCCCACATGCCGAGGCTGTTCCATTCTAAGGTCAGGCTAGGGAAATCAGACAGGATTGGGGTTCGTGGGGTCAGTGGACAGCTGTGTGAACTTGAATGATACACGGGCATCACCCAGCTCTGTGAGCTGACTCAACTTCAGAGAGCAGGATGCTGCCAGAGCCCATGAAAACAGCACCTACGGTTTTCGTGCCTTTGCCTGCTCCACCCCTCACAAGAAATTGCACCACTTGGCATTCCTCCCACCCCAACAAAAAACACCCCCAACCCTTTTCAAATGTTGTGCTCCATCCGGCAGGAATAGCACAAAGAGAGGTAGATACATTTGTTTACCTCCTGATGGATTTGTTCTGCTTAAGAAGTTTTCCCAAAGCCTCAGCTCCCATGGTTCGCAGGTTATTTCCCTGAAAGAGAAGCCCCAGGTGATCAGTAGGCTAAGCCTGTCCCAGTCCACCTAGACCACGACCACCACCAGACACATCCCAGCTGTAATGCCAATTTCAGCTGGGCAAAAATGGCCCAACCAACATTTGTTTCATGTATCAAAATGGAAAACCCTGGAGGAACAGTGGATCCATACACACCACTGGTCTTATGAGGCCACCATGACTGAGAGCTTACAAAAATCACAAAATAGCAGGATCAGCATGGACCACAATGGGACAGAACACGGCAATTCCAGACAAATATAACTATTTTAACACACTTCGTTAGGAAGGACTGTTAACACTAGCACAAATGAGTGAGAAAGTTATGATGCAGTTTGTGACTGTGAAATAGCTGTATGCCAGAGGAATACAGACAGAAAGTCACCCTCAGCAGAGAGACAATCACATCTGAAGGCAGACGCTTAGTTCAAAGCACACACTGGTCAAAAGACAGAAACACAAGTAGAACAGCTAGTAATTCACTGATCAATACAGAAATCCCCAAAAAAGCCTACATATGCCTCATCTGCCCAAGCAGCAACTGACAAAAGGTACCTAGCAATAGCTTCTTATCAAAATAGAGTAACTGAATAAAAGTGGATAAAGACAATCTGCAAAGTAACTTTGGAAAATTGTAACACGGTGTTAACGAGTCAAGAAATTAGTCACTTGAGAACAAAAAACTTACAGAAGTATGCATCTTGTTGAACAATCCTGCACCAGGACTGTCCAGTTCTCTTTCTCATTAAGCCTGTGCTTTTTCCTTCTCCACCATAGAACACTGTTAATTCTTTTCAAACAGACTCACCTTCAGATCCAAAGATTTGACTGTGGTGTTGGTGCAAAGACCATTCAACAAAAGTCTTACACCTGAGCAGAAAAAAAAAAAAAAAAAAAAAAAAGTTTATTTCATCTGTGAAACCTCCTGCCTAAACCGGCAGCATATCATCCCAGCATATCATCCCGTTAAACAGAATGAAAACAGACGTGGCTACTATAAACTCATTATTTGATAAACTGCCACTGCTGCTGGAAAGCTTGAGCCTGAGCTTTCAGGGCAGGAGACGGTTTATCTGTCCTCATAAAGGTGTCCGGGCAGAGAACTACCTGTCACCTCGTACATCCACCTGACTCAGCCCTGAAAAAGCCCCACGTCTAGAGAGGCTCTGCGGGCACGGCCGGGCTCTAAGCATCCGGACCGTCCCGTCCGTCCCGGCCCACAGCGGCACAGCTGCCCTCCGCCGGGGGAGAACTGAGGGGTGCCTGACCCCGCACGGCCACGGACCGGGCACCTTCGCCTCAAACACGAGAGGCCTCGGCCCCTGAGGGAGAGCGACCCCGCCGCGGGCAGCGCGCACCTTCCTCGCTCAAGCCGCAGTCGCCGAGCGCCAGCGCGGCGAAGGGCGCAGCTCCGGGCAGCAGCCGGCCCAGCGCGCTGCACGTGGGCAGCGACAGACTCTGCGCCGCCAGGTCCAGGCGGCCCCGCGGCCCGCCGGGCTCCCGCAGGCCCCGCAGCACGGCCTCCTGCGGGGCCGCGCCCGCCGCCGCGCACAGCCGCGCGTACTCGCGCCCGAACCGCTCCATGGCCGCGCGCGCCCCCGGAACCGCTCCCCGCCCGCGCGCGCTCCCCCGGAACCGTTCGCCGAGCGCGCGCGCCCCCGGGAGGCGGGCCCGGCCGCTCGCGGGACATGGAGGAGCGGGGCGGCGGCGCCGGCGACTTCAGGAAGGTGCGGCGGCTCCGGGCGCTGCCCCGGGCGGCGGGCGCGGCCCCGGCCCCGCTCACCGCTTCCTCTCTCCGCACAGAACACCGTGGATCGGCTTCTTCGCCTGAATTTCCGGGATGGCAGAACCCGAGGTACCGAGGCGGCGACGGGAGGCGCGGGCCCCGTCCCGCCTCCCCTGACCGCCTTGTCCTTGCAGTTAACGCCGAGGCGCAGCTGCTGGTGGGCGAGCTGCTGAAGGTGTTCGTCCGAGGTGAGCGCGCAGGGCCATCCCGCCAGCCTTGGAGCGATGGCTCCGGCTCCTCCCCGAGCACCCGGCCCCCCTTGGCCGCTCCCGTCCGGCTGCGGGCCTGGCCCAGCGTGCCGCGCTCCTCCGGGGCGCCGGGCCGCCTCCCGGACAGCAGCCCGGAGCCCCCGGTGACAGCTCCAGCCCCTCTCACTGCCCTTCCCTTTCTTGCCCTTGGGCTGCAGAAGCAGCGGCACGGGCAGCGCGGCAGGCTCAGGCAGAGGACCTGAAGAAGGTGGATACTGAACAGGTGGAGAAAGTATTGCCACAGCTGGTAGGTAACCGTGGGCCTGAACTGCATGGGAGCAGAATGGGGATATGGGCTGAACAGCTAATCCTCATCCTTTCGGGAGCTGTTTTGAGAACCCAACCTCTGTCCTGATTTGCTTATTGCTCTTTCCTTGCAGCTTCTGGATTTCTAGAGGCTCCTGAAGCACATGTCGCCTGTCAGCAGACAGTCCTGACACATGTCTCTGTCCCAGTGTGTCTCTGAGGCTAACGGTCTCAACTTTTTCTTCCTCTGTCATTTTGCTTCTGTTTCCTCTCCCCTTTACTAAGCACAACACAGCCCAAAGCAACGATGGAGTACAATGATGCTATTTTTGAGAAGAGGGTGTCACAGGCTTATTTTGTTCAACTGAGTACATAACTGGTTTCTATCTTGCTGCCTTACTCCTGTAACAGAGGCCTGTATTTCACAACATGGTAAGAAGCTGTTGCTTTCTCAGCTAATGTGAGAAAGAGGTGCTGCTTCACAGAGATGCATGGAAAGACTTAATGGCTGGAAATACCATCCAGCCTTCAGGCTCTCCTTGCCTCAAAAGCAGGCAGCTGTAACAGCAACTCCAGGTGCAGCTCCAAGCCTTCCTACTGAATAGGTCATTAACAGGAGCTTAGTCACAGGCTCTTGCCAAAAGCAGGTAACTGATCTTTATTTTATAAATAAACAGTGTCTGTCCCTCACTACCTTCCAGTATTTCTCGGGCTGTGACATCAAAGAAAGTTTGAAACCTTTTAACCATTCAATATTCTCCTCAAAGGCTGCTCCCCCTCTGCTATAAATTTGTTCTCACAAAGAAACATCAGTAAGTTAAAAACAAGTCTCCCTTCCTTGTGTAGGCTCTTTGCTGCAATTCATCATCAAAAGTCAAGTTGCTTCAAAGACTTGCAGAGCTTCCCCCTCACCCACCCTCTTCCCTAAATCTTTGTAGGACGAAAGGAAAAAAGGACAAAATAACAAACAGCATGTGTGAGAATCCCACATCACGGGACAGCCTGGCCCCTCTGGCAGCGGGGGGGCCACTGTGAAATAAGAAACCTTACACATGTGGGCAGGACCCACCGAGCCCAACTGGCTTTGCTGGGAGGTGCAGGGCTGGCTGCAGGAGCAGGCAGAGCCAGCAGTCCTTTGCTCAGGAACAGCTGTGACAGCAGAGGCTCAGTGGGTCACTGTGTACTTTGAGCTAGGAGCTATCAGGGTCATCCCTCAGGACACCAACCTCTTGGAAACCTCACAAAAACTGCAGTTCCAGTACACATTCTGGGGACAGTACCAGCTTATGCAGTCCCCAGCCCTCAGCCGAGACAACTGTTCAGCTGTACAACACATGCAATGAAGGAACTGACCTAGTTCAGTCTTCAGGCATTGGTAAAAAAAAGGCAATAGCAAAAAAAAACCCCAGCAGATGATACTACCTTTGAATGCCCTAAAACCACAGGGATGAGTTCAGCTACTATAGCAGAAGTGATACTGAAACAAAATCAGTTCATCAGGTATCTGCAGGTACTGCTCTTCAGCAGGGCACGAATCCTTGTAGCAAGTGCCTTAGTGAAGAGCTCAGCATTGTAAATGTGGGGGTGCCCTGTCTCCCTTAAAGAATTCACTCCTACTTCCTTGCCTTTTCCAGATTTCAGGTCCTTGTCTCTGCCTCCACCCTGACACCAACTGAAACAGCAGTCCCAAAGTCGCTGCCCTGAGAAGGCTCAAGTTCCCTTCCCTGACACACAGAGAGGAGAACTGCTGATGTGGACATCCACAGTAAAGCAGCAATTGCATAACAGCAGCTAAAAGTAACTTTTTGTATAGGGAAGGGGAATAAGACCTCTTGTGTATCTATTGAAGGTAGCAATTTTTCATTATTGTGGTTAAACTGGGTTTGATGCACAGCTGAGTTACACAAGGGACAAGCATGGGCAGAACTGCCTGAGGGAACACAGCAATGTAAAGCCCTTACACTTAAGCCATGAAACTGCCCCAGGAATACTGATATTGCTGCTTGTATCCCTAAACTTGTTTTTCCATGTCAGGTACTTGCAGGGGATAGTTATGGTCCTAACCTTTACAAAAACTGACATAATTAGAGCAGCTAAGAAAATCAGTTAAGCAGATTATAATATTTGATGTCACCTGTGCTCTTCAAAAAATAAGGACTAGCACATCTGAAGCACACTGCAACTTCCTCCCAACCACACTGCTTCTGCATATTCCAATCCTGGAAACCAAAACACCAGCACAAGTATTTCACCACCTATCATTAGCAACAGCTCCTGGTTTCCCCACAGGATATCCTGTACAAATTCAGCAAGGCAGCTCTAGCTACCATCTACCTCTGATCTGTGTGACATGAATAAGCCTGATACAGCACCTGAACCAAGACCAACAGTCCTGTGCAGCGTGGGCTCAGCCCACACTCAATCCACTTCAGAGTAATAAACTTTAAACTTTATTTGACTGGTTTTTTTGTTTGCTGTGGTATGTCTTTTATAGCCTATCCAGTGGCAGAAGGGCTTCTTTCCACAGGGAGGGTTGAGTACAGGAGCTGCACACAGTGCTCTCACGTTCCCTGTTCACGTCTGGGTGTCATATAAGAAATCAATCCATTTTTTTGCTAAAGCATTCTGCTCTCCTTCTGCTTTGAGTCTCCTTCTTCCTCTTCCACCTTTCTTTCATGCCTCCCCCTCCCTCCAAGTTTCTTCAAAGCATCTGTGAGCATTTGGAAGTAATTAGACCTGAAGGGAAATGTTGGCCAGGCAGGGAGACAATGACAAGTGCCAGGAACCCAGGGTGCCCTTTCTAGCCACTTTGAAGTTCATTCAGATGGGACAAAGCTCTGTTTTGCTTTGTTGAAAAAAAACGGGAGGAAGGGAACAAGGCATGACAGGCCAATTGAAAAGAGCAGGTTCCTGTGAACTGACAGACACACCAAGTGCCAGGGCAAGAAGCTATTAAAGGCACTGACCAAAAGGGCCCCCGTGGCCACTCTGCTTTATTACATCTACAAATTGTGCAGATGCACATGTAGTGCGGGGAGGAAACAAGGAAAATGGAAAACATGGTATTACTGTACCATGGAACCCCAGCTCTCCACAGATCACTGATCCATGGAGAAGACTTCAAATAAAACCCAGCACCATGACTGCCATGGCACAACAGAGTTCACCTCCAGTGTAAGGGCAATTCTAACCAATATTCATTCCCCCACAACGTCTGCAGGAGACAAAGATCTGGACTGGGCCCTTTCCCTGTGCACCAACTGCAGTGCAGAGCACAGCTACCCTGCTCTGGGAACGCTCAGGCCACCAATCAACTGTCATCTGAAGAGACCCTTCAACTGTATGTTTTCTCCCTTGCTGTAACCAATTACTGATGGTAATTATACACAGTGAAAATAAAACTAGAGCCTAGGGCAGGAACAAGCTCAACAGGCATTCCACAAACAGACACCTGTATTCCTTGTTAACAAGACTCTGGCAACTGAACACATGAGTGCAGCAGCCCAAGTGCTTCACAAGAGAGTTCACTGAACTGAACTGGTTTAAGTATCTTAAGTGCTTCCTCTTCATTCATTTTCCAGCCGTCCATATCCAGAATTATCAGCAGCACTAACCCTAATCACTAAGAGGCAGAGAGAAGCCTTGTTCTGGGCATCACTTAACAATTATAGGTAAAGCTGAACCAGATTGTATCTTGCTACTAGAATACAGGCTAGACTCAAGTGATCTGTAAAGGTGGAACTGAGAGGATTTGAATTTAAAAATATGGATAGAAACAAAGTCCTTTGCAGAAAGTATATAGGAATCATGTCCCCCTTAATTCTCTATTCTTATTATTTGCATGCAAGAAACCTTAAATTTAACCTCTAACCTTGTTTCTGTAGTCACAAAGACCACAAACAGGCCCTCCACTCCTTCACCAGCTGCAACTGGTATCTGAAATAGCCATTCTCTTTTTACAACTAATGTTCATATAGATTAGATCTCTCCAGGGCCACTAACACCTTTTACACGTTCTGAGTAAGTTCGTGGAGAAGAGGGCACAGCTGACAACTCAGTGATCCAGCAGCCCAGGATGCTTCATCTTTTTCCACCTACAAAATAAACACAGCACCATTAAAACACTTAACATGTAATTATCACTTACTTGTTTCTCAGTAAAACAGTCTGGTGGCTGAGAGTTCTGGTCACTGCTGTGCTCAGGCAGCATTGGGGACCACAAGAGAGCACTTGGAGAGATGAAATGGCAAACACATCACAACTTTTGGAGCAGGGAACTTCATCCTTCATGTTATTAACAAACAACTTAGAGCACATTATTAACTTCTCATAACAACTATTAAATGGGAAACCTGCACAGGTAGGTGGCATGATATTCTGTACTTTATCCAAATAATCTTGGAAAAGAAAACTATTTCAAGTGCAATGGATTAGGTATCAGACTTCCCAATGTTCAGAATCTGCATTCATATACTTCTCCAGTGAAGGCTGAGGTTCAAGTCACCAACGAATTTGTGACTGACAAGCAGTGAACCAAATGTCCTGCAAGCACAGGCTGACATCTGCAACAATACTGTCAATATCCAACCCATCTGGCAGAGAGACTGCCTTTTGGGGCAGTTCAGAAGGAGCAGAGCTCTCCCTATGATTCATTGATACCTGGAAGTTTCAGCCATTTGGGTATTTTCCCAGGGGCCTTTCTAAACACTTGTGGAGCTCCCTGGGTGCTGGCTGCTTCTGGCTGTTCAATGGTCTCTTTGTCACTTCCCACTTCTGGTTCAGATAAGGATGGAGCCACTGATGCTAAAGTTGATGAAGCAGAAGGAACTAATGATCTAGACAAACATCAGAGAAAGGAAATAAGCAAGTAGAATGAAGCTTCATTTTTCATAATAGCCCCCTGTATCACCACCACCTTTAAAGTTAGATTGAAAAAGCTCTTCTTTTTCCATGGTACAAGCACTAGTATTGACTTAAGTCACTGAAATCCTACTTTGCAAAGGACTCACAAAGCTATGAAGTCCAATATGACAGTATGACTGTTTCTGGACAGAAGGAAGTCCTAGTATCTTCAAAGCACTTGTCTTTGTAGTAAGATGGGCTCATTTCATGCTTCCCATTCCTGAAATACTAAGGCATTTGCAACTCTACTCAACCCCAACATACCTGGCTACTAATAAATCAGCTGCAGAAGGAGAAACTGCAGAGCTCAGCAGGTCTGATTTCAGGTAACAAGCTGTTTAGAAATGAAACCAAATCACTTAATTGGTAACACACATACATCAATCACCACAGTACCACATAGCTCTCAGCTCAAAAAATACCTGCTGTGTACTACAGTAAACCTACATCACCTTCCTCCAAACGACACAGGGCATTACTGAACCATGCCAGTTTCTTTCACAACTCAGAGGTGCTCTATTTCATCATTCAAACCTCAAGACCTTGACATTTTCTTTCAGTGCTCACTGCATCTCAGGGACTTTTCTGTGAAGCCACAGCATACTTTGGTCTCTGGGAGAAACAGGGATGCTAAGCATAAACCAGAGATGCCAAAGAACCTAAGATTCACATCTGTTCTACCATCTCCAGCCAGTCCACTACCACAGGAGCTCTGCAAAATCATTTCATAGACATTTGTCTGGGTAACATTTTGAACAACAGGATTTTCTTTCCTATGGAGTCATTCTTCCATCATTCTTCATCCCATGGCAGACAATGCCTAATCCCCTAACAGAGGTACAATGTCCACATCTGTGCTCAAGCTAACTGCCCAAACCAGCTCTGAAGAGCTTCTGCCAGTCAGAATGGAGACATTCACCAGCATTCTCAAGGACTGCAGTTGCTTTTGACAGAAGAGCTCTGACAGAAGCAATACTGAGTAATGCAGGAACTATACAGTCAGCTGAACGAGACAGGAAATGCACTCACCCCTGCGCTCCTCTGATCCAAAATGAACAACAGCAGTTGGGAAAAGTTTGGCCTGTAGCAAAAGGGGAAAAGAAGGTATCACTGCCTGTAGATGCTTTCACATTCACTGTGAACATCAGAGGCAGGTCAGACAGCTACAGACAAATTCAGGGAGTTCAAGCCAAGGTCACTAACCATCTGTAATTCAGGAAAACTTAAACCTGTGGTGTACTAAACAGGTGATGAGACCTCTACAGCAAGTGCTCACTGCAGGAATGCCCTGCCATTTCTTCTCCTCTGTCCCCATACCTCAGGTCATTGTATGGCACCAAGATTCTCCATTGCTGAGCAGATAACATTAATATGATGAAGAATCTTCTAAGATCTGAGTGGCTGACACCAAGAGAAGAAAAATCCAGCTATGCCCTTCCAAAAGCTATTCTAAATAATTTTATTACTTTTACACCCTGTCTATAATTGAAATTTATCCAGTTTCACCACCTTTCCAGGATTAAGTATTTCCTTTTATAAATCCAACCCGAATTCCTAGTTCCTACTTATCAGAATAATTGCCATATTCAAACATTTTTTTTCTATCCAGTGGGTTTGGTGGTTTTTGTTTTTTTTTCCTTTTATTTCAGCGGGAATCCCTGTAATTTGTGTCCATTTCCTCTTGTCCTTTTACAGGGCACTGCTAAGAACTCTGGACCATACTCCTTGCTGTTTCCTGTCTCTTTTACTACACACATTGACAAGACCCCATAGAGCTTCTTTTTTTCCAGGCTGAACAGCCTTGACTCTCTCTCTACCTCTCCCCATATGTCAGATGCAGGTCACTTCATTATCTTTTGGTCCTTTTCTGGGCACCAGGGAAATTGTGAAACTGGACTCACACACTCCCTGCTCAACTGAGGAATCACAAATGCACCTGTAGGTATAAAGGAGGGACCTACCTATGGAGGTTGCTCTGCCACCTCCAGTGACCCCAGTGCCACACCACCTCTTCAAAAAACCTCAGTGATACATTATAAAGCACTACACCACCACACCCAGTGTTAATCCAAGTGTTCCCAAGGGAAACACAGAGCAAGAGAGTCAAAGTTGTAAAATTTCATTCTAAAAACAGACACTACTGACAAGCTCAGGCTGAGATTTTTAAAAGGGTATGATATGCCATAACCAGCTGTTCCAGAAAGGATTCTGAAAAAACAACCATCATATTTATTACATGCATTATATGCCAGTATAACACCACATAAAGAATAACTAGCTGAAATAATTCTGTTAAGCTTTTAGGAAGCCGTGTACTAAGAGACAAGTAAAGAAACCAAATCATCATGGTGTAAAAGAGGCAAGTACCACTACAGCCAGAAACTGGACAGCAAATGTTAATTAATGGTCTACATTTTCCCTGGCAAAACAGTAACACTAAACTTGTCACACTGATCCAACAAATAAATAAATAACCAGATAAAAGCGAGTGACTGCCCCAGTTGGTATCACTCATATGTACTTGGGAACTGTGCAGGGCAGACTGACTGCTCTGGAGTTTTCTTGAGCCTCTGTTGCCACCATCAGCCCAAGCTGGATACTGGAATGATGGTCCTTGGACCCCATCCAGCACAGCAATTACCAGAACTCAAAAGAACCCTGATCTTCACAGAGGAGGCTGTGGACTGCTGCCTAATATGGAGACTAACAAAATTGTATTAACTGAAGGCAAAATGAAATAGCTTCACCTCTCTTCCTGCCTTCAAGCTTCAGACGAGCATATGGCATTACACATTTTTCTGACATTAATCCGGAGGCCACAGGAGACTGTGTCATGCAGCACAGCCAACATCAGGATAGCTGAAACAGGAGACATTTATCACTCTGCTCCAAGACTCAGCTCCTGCTAAAGCATCCAGGCAAATTCACATCCTTGAACTGACATTTTAGCAAAATAATTATTTATTAGGTCTTTTAACATTTCATTCCTCAATCAACAGGGCCTAAGGTTGCCTGCTCCAATCACAAAGACAGCTCTCCATAAACTTTTTTAATTACAAAGTACCAGACATGGTTTAGAAATCCCAGAAAAAACTCTCAAAAGAGCTTTGATGTTCCTACAGCATTCGTCTATTTAGCAAATGGGTGCCTTAAAAAAAGCCCCCCCCCCCCCAACACACATACACTCAAGCCCTTTTACACACAACATCCTTTTCATGCCAGCTGCAAGTTGGAAAATGAGGTTTTTGTAGTGTGTTAGTGTTGGAATTTTTTAATAACCTCCGCTCTCTTTTTTTTGCCTCCCGACCAATTATCTTGGTAAATAATTAACATTCTGAAGGAGATAAGTAAGCACAGAAACTCAGAACTCAAAGCCCTTTAGTTCAAAGCCCTGCCCTTTTCTCTTCGTTTCCCTGCTGCTGCCACTGAAACTTCCTTGTCAATCAAGCTCTGGGCACACACATCAAAGCCTTATGTGGGAATGGCCCCAAGGGGTCAGAGAAAATTCATGGCAGGGCCTGTGTGAGGCACAAAGAGAGAAAGAGAGTGAGGAATACAGACCAAGAGCTAGACAGACTCACTCAACAAACAAACATATAGACAGACTGTGCCCCAGTACAAACCTCTACCCTATTTACTCACAGGTCATCAAGTAACCATAGTTCACAGTTTCAGGACCCATGTCCACAACCATTTCCTACTGCTGGCAAAACATCAGTTCAAATGTTTCAGTTCAAAATCTTAATTGAAAGAAACCTAAAGGAGCTAGACAGCAGCGCTGCAGCACACAGAATGCAACGTCCTTCCCATGGCTCCTTTCCCTGCATCCCTATCCTTTCCTAGGGCTCAGCCAGCATGGAGTCCCCTCTTTCCAAACCTCTACCCAATAAGGTTTTTTCCTCCAATTCAAACAGACTATTGGCTCATGCACAGAACCTTTGGTCTAGCTTCCTTTGTGTGGAATTGTCAGGCACCACCCCAATCTCAGCACTCCCTGAGGGTGCAGCACAGAAGGCAGCCAGCTACACCTCACCTGGGAATTCTCTAGCCGCACTGGCAGGACCTAACGCTGCCCAGAGATCTTTATAATCTGAAGTATTTAAATCAGCAGCATTTTCACACAAAAAAATAAAGGCCAGTAGAATTATCCCATTGTCCAAGGACTGTCTGGGTATAAAGATGAGAAGGTTTTAGTAGATTCTGTCCATGAAAACACAGGAGCCCAAAGCCAAAGCCCTCAGCATTCTCTAACACACCTATGAAGGTAATGATCAAACACTGGGCAGACCATCACCTGAAAACTGTATCCTCAAGTCAGCTGTTCTAATGTTTGCAGTTGTTCTAATGCATCTGACAATGTTTCTAGAACAACTCTGCAGCTCTTCACTGCATAGGGTTCTTGCAAGAACATCTGTGAATCAGAACAGATTTTGACAACTCTTAGGAGCCTGCCAGGTTGACCAAAAGAATTCAAAGGATGTTCAAAACAAGTAACTCAAAAAGCTCCACTCACTTACATGCAGAGAATTACTACAATAGC